ACAAATATCACAAGGTTATATATATATATATATATATAGAAAAGGGAGCAAGGTGAATTGCAGAGATTTCTATTTTACTAGACGTGCCGGACCCCGCGCGGCTTCGCGGGGCTGGGGCTGCAGAGCGGAGGCCGAGCCGGGCTGCGGCGGTGCCCGTCTCGCCGGAGGAGCCCGGGATGCTCTGCCGTCCCTCGGTACGGAGCCCCAGCTCGCTCCTATCAAGCAATGCAAATTTTTTTTTATTATTTTTTTTATTTTTAAACTACGTTGCCTCAAGGCCAGGGCTTCTGAGGTTATTCGGTCTCCCCCAGGGGCCTGGCAGGGTCTGAAATGAGTTGGGACCGCGGGGAATATCCGCCCCCTTTGGGTGCCGCTCAGCACCTCGACCGGCCACAGCGGCCGAGCTGGTGCTAAAGGCAGCGTCCGAAATAAAATTGGCTGGATGGTCCCAAGCTGGCGGTGTTTGGGGTGTCCTTGATTTCTGGGTTTGGGGCAGGGTGGGGAGGACCAGCCTCGCTGTAAGCGTGGAGCCCCGAGGCACCTCCTGACCCTTGGGGACGGGTTGAGACCTACCTCCGGGGTCACGCCGGTGCTTTGCAAGCGGCACCCGTTTGCTCCAAGCTGGCAGCGCCTACGGTGCTCGCGTGGGCTTGCACCAGACAGGCCTCGGCGATTGCTCCAGGCATAAGGAGGAGCAGGGAAAGGGCCTGGTGCTGGAGAGGCGTTAGCAGGGGTGCTGGGTCTGGCAGGGTTTGGCGCCTGCCTTGTGCTTTTTGCATCGCTCTTGGCTCTCCCACCCGCTGCTGCTGCTGCCCGAGTTGCAGCCCCGTCTTCCAGCCTCAGGGAATTGCAGGTGTTTCCCGGAGCATCCATGCATCCGGCTGCGGGTGCCCCGGGCTGAGAGAGGAGTGCAGTGGTGGCACCAAGAGATCTCCCGGCTCTGAAACCAACTGGGAACAACCAGGAGGGGGTGGACGGACAACCGGACAGACCCCTTTGGACATGATCTGCCGAGCAGAGAGGAGCACGTGGGTGGGAGCCAGATGGCCCAGGATGACCAGGTGCCACGAGGCTGGAAGTGGGTGCCAGTCTCCCAGAGGACTTGTAGGCTCGCAAACACCTTCAGGAAACGCTACTGAGCTGAAATGGCATTGAACTTCAAACGGCAGATCTTCAAAGTTGGCAACATCAGGCGGGAGAAGGAAAACGGCATCACGACAGCCCTGCTCCGGCCGGCTGCTGTCCCATCGATGGTGCTCCAGAGGAAGGAGCAAGCCAGGACAGACCCTCCTGGCGCCTGCCCAGGTGCTTTTTGCCTCCGAGGGCTCCTGCTGAGCCACTGCAAACGATCCAAAGCTTTGTCTGGACCATAGGACTGACCTTCCTCTCGTGTGGGCTGCTCCCCCGGCCTCAACCCCTCGCCATGCAGCTGGGCACCTTGCAACGAGCCACCCCGTGGAAGGGGCAGAGAGATGGTGGCACTTGCTCACCCCCGAAGAGAGTTACGGCTTTGGGCACAGAAACGGAGTAACAGCAGTAATTCAGCTTCTACAGATCGCTTCCGCTGTTTCCATGCAAAGGAGCAAGCTTGGGATAGAAAGGCAAAGAGGAGAAATATGCCCAGGCAATGCTGGTTGCTCCTGGCTGCTTTTAGCGTTCCACTCGTCGCCAAGATTCGCCGTCGCTGCCGAAAGAGGAAAGTCAGCTTTCTGCAGCCTCACGGACCCAACGCCGCAAACCGGACGGCACTGGACAGCAGAAAGCGCTCAAACACGCTGCCGGCTGCCCCGACACCTTCCCCACGGCCGCTCCCCGAGAGCTTCGCCACCGAAACGCCTATCATCAACCCCGGTTTGCGAGCGAGGATGTGGCCACAGGGCTTAAGTCTTCTCTGGCAAGAGCTGCTGGGCTTCCTCTGCACCTGGGGGCGAGGACACGGGAGCAAAACAGGAGACGACACGTCCCAAAGGGTGTCTCAGCCTTACTGTAATTATTGCAGTGGAGTTTTGATTTTTAAGCTTGAGAAAGGTAGAGCTGGGCGGCTCTATGGCTGCTTAAAAAGACCGAAGGTCGATCGTGGACCCTCAGTCTTAGGAGCGACAAACACGCTCGTGTCCGAGGGTCCCTCGGATGCCAGAGCAGAGTTTATATCTGTCTGTGCTGCGTTTTTCACTTTTCTGTTCCCGGGGGTGTTGGCAAAGCCAGGCCCCACAGCCGCCTCTCACCTCCTACAGCAGGTCACAGCTTCCCTTGCGCAAGCAGGACGCGGGGTCCAGGCGGTCCTCGCTTTGTCCTGGCCCCCGTCAGAAAGGTCCGTGTGCTTTTTCGGGGGGGGAAAAAAAGAAAAATGAACAAACAAATGACAAAAAAATACCCCAACAGCTGATGCTCAAGCTCCCCTCGTGCAGGTGGCTTTTGCACCCAGCAAAAGAGCAAACTCCAGAGTGCCTGATCCCCTTTTTAACCAAAACATGCCCCAAATTCAGTGCAGAGACGGCAGGGGCAGGGGGGGGA